TGTTTTTCAGTGGCTCACCTGTTATACTATGTGTAGGGCCCTGAGGATTTGTTTTACTTTTAAGTTTTTCTAGTATATGAATCAATAATTATGAGATTTGTATTTGTAAAACTAGCCATGCTTTCTCTACACTTTAAGTTTTAAAATGACATTTCAATGAAACTTTATATATTTTATTCAATTTTTGCCATTTTCATGCAGTATGTTTGTACTGTATTGAGATTTCCTTCCCTAGAGATGACATGGGACTTGTTCATTCTGTCACTGTGCTGGTTGAGTGCATATGAGTTACTGACCAATTGTTTGGAAAATTCTGTTTCCATGCAGTCATCCTCCAGCTCTGGCTCTGACAGTCTTTCCAGCCCCTTGTCCACAATGGTCCCTGAGCCTTGAGATACTGCATAAGAAGGGTTTTCAGTGAGATTTCAGAGATGCACTAATCTACGTGTATAACATTGTGTCATTAGGAATAAGTTTATTACTATATCTATTTAGCAGAAAACTACTTTTAGGCTCTCTGCTAAGCCATGTGACCTGTCTAGCCTCATGTTCCCAGACCTAATAACTTCTAACAAGTACCTTAAATCCAATAAAAAGTCATTGGTTACTCCCATAATATTCACACCACTGTTGTACCCATGGGCATTTCTTTCCTGACCATTTGTGGCTGTAACTCCTACAATTCACACCTGGGTAAAACTGACAATTATTTGTTTCTTTGGTATCTTACAATACTTTCCAGCAATATGAATGCCAGGCAGTAGAAATGAAACTTTGAAGTCAACATCAGCATGATTTCTCCTAGTTTGTTCTACAACTCCTGTATGTAATGTGTTCAGCAAAGGGGTTTTGCTGTAGAGGAATTCTGGTGGCTAACGAACAGCAGGATCAATGGCCATTGGTGTTTCACAATCTATGTGACTCCTGGTCACCAGATTCAAGAAAGGGGGTCCAGTCTTGGCACTGAGGTTTCATTTTGTCAGCCTATGGTGTCTAGTAGAGGCAAAGTAGCCTTGAATTAAGATAACACTTCTTAATCTCTTTTATAAATACATTTCTTTACATTCCAGAATGTCCTCCGAGTTGATAAGCCATGCCACTCTTAGGCATATTCCCAAGACTCTATTCCTTACTCCAGACATACCTGTACATCCAAGTTCATTGCTGCCTTTTTAAAATAGCAGAAGTTGGAATTAACCTAGGTATCTATCAAGTGATGAGTGGATAAAGAAGATGTGTTGCATATACACAGTGAGAAATTATTAAGCTCTGAAAAACCAAAATTAGGAAATGTTCATGAAAATGGATGGAACTGGAAACAACCATCCTGAGTGAGGGAACCCAACCCACAACCAGAGGATAACTTTGCATTTTTGTTCGACACTAGCTTTGAAATCCTAGATATACAAGTTTTGATGTGAAACTCCAGAGATGTCAGAAAATGATAAACAGCCATGACCGGGTGGGGCACCTTCCCAGGAGGGGGAATAGAATATAGTGATGTAATTTTTTTGACTTATTTATCTATATTGATAGGAATGTGTGTTTGTGTTTTGCCTGCATACATGTAAGTGTACCATGTGTGTTCCGTGCCCACAGAATGGTCCGCAGAAGGTATCAGGTCCCTTGGAACTGGATTTACAGACAGAAGTTATACACCACGTGGGTGCTGTGTACCAAACCCAGATCCCCTAGAAGAGCAGCCTGTGCTCATATCCACTGAGCCATCTCTTCAGACTCCTGGTCTTGCTAGTTATAGTCAGGGTTGCCAGCTCCCTATGAAACTGCAGATGACATTGAACTTGTAACTCCTCTCCAGCTGCTCTGTGCTGGGACCACTGGTGTGCACCACCACACACAATTCTTGCACTACTGAGGACTGAACCCAAAACTTTGTGCTGCTTGACATCCTTATGTCAGGAGAACCACATCCTCACTTTTCTCTTGAGTTCTTTTGTTTGCTTGAAATGTAATTCTTCATCTGTCTCCTAACATATGAAAGTATGAAAAATGCTATGTAAATTCCAACTGCAATTAGAATGAATTATTAAGCAGTGGGAAGGGGGAGAGTGGGTCAGTTTGGAAGAGTGAAAAATATTTATAAATCCTTCCCAGTAACTTTGAAGGCCTAATTTCTTGGGTCATGCAGTCATTGCTTATTGGAATGAACAAGGTAGTGAAATAAGTTAACAGTGGAGAATAGTTTGGTATGTTTCCTTCCTCTTGAAGTTGTCCACCACAAAGCATACATTCATGTAAGTTGTGGGTTCCAGTTTGTGAATTGTATCATCAGGCACCATCTAGAAATCTCCTGCTCACTAGTAATAATTTTATATTTACCAATATTTAAAATCATCCTGTATTGAGAGAAGAGTTTGTGTTGTGGAAGGCAAATGAAATCCGTTCTTTGACTCGTACAGTTTCCTCTTAGCATCTCTTGATCTGCACAGGAACCACATTCATGCAACGGTCCAGGAAGAAGGGCTGTGGATATTCCATTTCAGCTCTCCTTACAGGATTCTTCCTGTAGTCCCACAGCAAGGGTCCCTGGTGATTGTGGTCCCCAGTGAGTGGGTTTTTTTCTCTATCCAGTCAGGCCTGACAGAGGCAGCTCTCCATGTCCACTTAAGAGGAGCACATTTCTTCTGCAGCACAGTAGGCCGACACTGACCAAATGTGGCACATGAGAAGGATGTGGTCAGCACAGCCGCATTTCACACTGATCAAGTGTTTCTGTTGGCTGAATACACAGCCTCTCCTCACCCTAACAAGGCAGGGATGAGGGTAATGGAAATTTTCCAGGTTTAACACAGCTCTGACAAATGTCCAGTGAAGCCCTATATGCACTAACATCTTCATCAGAAGTTCTTTGAAGCTACATCACCTCGGTGTGCACAGGTCTCTGGAACTCAGTCTTCTGGTGAAGGTGTTGTGTGTGCCCTGTGACCAGTACCTCTCCATGTCACAAGCTGCCCTTCAGATAGCAGCACTGCCTCACACAGTTCAAATCTGCCGGGAGGGTGCATATTAGGTGTTCTTTCTATTACAAAAATTGAACAGGGAACAGGAACTCTATTGATGATGGCTGTGCTAATTCTGTAGATTTTAACTCTTGTTTTATTAAATTGCATAACTCTAAAAATGCTGTTGCTCATCAAGATGTCTAGTAAGTTGCTTTACACTCAAATTTTCTCTTTGAACATTTATATTTTTGAGTGACTCAGGAAGGGTGGTGAGCTGAGGAACACTTGCCTAACATGACTGAGGTTCTAATATTTTATTTAGTCTCATTTCTTGTTCAAAAGGTACTATTATAAATATGAAAAACTACTATAAAATGAAAATGCAAAATACAAAAGGATCATTCATAATGCTAATGTCTGATAGAGAAAACTTCATATTCCACTCATGGAAAAGAAAACAGTTAATTAAAGACATAATCAACTTGGTTTAACAGGCATTTCACAAAGGGATATAGGTTAATAGCCAGTTCAGAACTGTGTTATTCATCAGGGAAATGAAAAAAATGCAATAATTGTCAACATATACTTAGAATAGCCACAATCACATACACTGGTATAATCAGGCAGATCTGGCCCACACAGTGAATGCAATCATATCAGCATTCTAATTCTAATAAAGTACACCTCTTTGGACCCAGAAGGCCCACTTTCATTGCATTTTCTGGAGAAGCAGTTTATATATCCCCTCACAATGTCCAAGGATGTTTACAGCAGCTGCATTCAATTTTGGAAACAAATGTCAGGCAGTCAAGAGATTAAGCATGATTTTTGAATTTTCCCAGGGAAACCCAGCCAATAACGGATTGAAGGGCTGAGTTGAGAGGATACCTAGAAATGGTATTGTGAATTGTAAGTCACCATTGATCAAATAACAAAAAAGATGCAGGGATCCCAAAAGTTTGGTGTTCTTCAATCCAGGCAAGGCCATGATTTGGTGAGATTCTTTCTAACAATTTCTTTGTCAATATGTATTTTTATGTAATTTTTGTGCATTTCATAAAATGCATCTCAGTATTTAGACCCTCCCCTATCTGCACCCCTTATTACCACCCCCCCACTGGATGTCATGTTTTTTGTCATATTTTTAAAGACCTATCCAGTCAAGTTTGTGTCACCCGCTGTCCCCCGGTGTGAGTTCAGTCACTGGAGCCTGGTCATCCTGTCTGGCATCACTCCCCTAAAGAAGACATACTCTTCCTCACCCAGCATTGATCATCTGCCAATGGTTCCTCGGCTGAGGTTGGGGCCTCCTGTCCATTTCCTCAATACTTGCTGAGTTTTGTCTGATTAAGTTTGCATGGGTCTTCTGCAAGGTGTTCAGGAGTTTGATTCCTCATGTGCTTTGACAAATGAAACCCAACCAGGGGGCTTGGTTCTCATGTCTGAGGACTGCTGCACAATGAATGTGTTCTGAGATGTCTTTTTATGTCGGTGGGAAATCTGTAAGAAGCAACGAGGTCCTGCTGCTGTGAGAAGAGCAGCACTCCTAGGCGGGGGATGGAGGCAAAGTGTCATGTTCCCAGCCCCATCGTGTCCCCACTAAGATGGGCGTCACAGAGATAACAAACAACAGTCAACATGGTGGCATGTGGGGGGCAGGAACCCTTGTGTATTTATTGCTAATTGCAATGCAAACTCTGCAGCCACAAGGGAAATCGATGTGGACATTCCTCAGAAAACCACAATGAGCTCCCGTGTGACGCAGCTTTCCCATTCTAAGGGGCAGTCCATGGAGATACTTGCAGATAACGTTTACTGCTGCACTATTCCCAGTGGTGAACATATGGAATAGCCTCAGTGTCTATCAGCCGATGAATGATGAGGAAAATTGATCAAACGGGTTTTATCCAGCTATAAGAAGAATGAAGTGACTTCATTTGGAAAAATGAACTGGAGCTCCTTATGTTAATGAAAATAAACTAGACTTAGAATGATATACACCATCTGTGCACATATGGAATTGTGATTAAATAACACATGGTATTCAAAATGGGGCTGTTTTCAATGAGAACAGAGAGGAGGGAAGGAAGAAGGTGACCAGTGAGGGTGAAGTTGGAGTATGATCAAAGCAGTTTTATCCATCAGGGAAATGAAAACTGATGCATATTTTGTCATAGAAAAGATTAAAACAATACATACATATGATTTGAAAGTCCAAGGAGAACTACATGTGACGAGGAAGCATGCTGATAGGGGGAGAGACTAGACAGGGCAACAGATAATAAAGTTAAAAGTTCCATGTTTCTCCTATGTGTCATCTTGAATGAAATGCGCATGTACATGATATTAGATGAGATATTAGTGTGGAGGGAGGGGCCCAGCATTCAGAACAAATAGGGACAGAGAGGACAGGAGGAAGTTGTCAAATATGAAC